AGTGGGTCTTTGATTTACCAAAAGTGGACATTTAAATTGTTCGAAATTTATCATGGCGAGTCTGATAACTCAATATGTTATAATGTTTCTTATTATGTTAATATGTTTCTTATAATGTTTACTCAATCAGCTCTAAAATTTTCAAATTTTAATAAAACATCAAAATTTTAGTACATTCTCTAGAAAAAAATACATTTACTTTATTTTAGTAATACTTTTACTGATATAAGTTTATTACTTTTTTTCTCTAATTGCTTTGAAGTTTTTCAAAAATATTACTAAAATTTCACTTATAATTATGATTTTTGTAAAATTTAAATAATTTTTTTAAAAATATTGTTATAGTTCAATATTAGTATTTATTGGTATTGATTCCTAAAAAAAAACATTTATAATGTTTAAATATACTGTTTTTTTTTTAAAAAAAGTACTCTTAACGTTTTTGGATACCTTAACCTGTAGACTGTATTTTTTTTAATTGCTTGCTAACAATCCATGACAACAATAATAAAACATTTTATTTCTCTTTAAATTTAAAAATTAAAAGACTTGGCATCACACTAAGCAAAAAAATTATTTCCAAAAAGAACCACAGAACTCAATATTTTAGAAAAGTCTACACACATATATTTCTTTTCATACCTATCAAATAAAAACAACTTGCTACGTCGATTCCAATGTAGTTACAAGAGTTTTGTAAATAAATACATACAATTACTTTTATCCCTCCCCAATCGATACACTCGAATAAGTAAAGTATACATATGTTTGTTTTCCCCCAATATATATATTCAATAATAAACAAAATTTTGCGGAGTAAATAAGATGAAATGTAACATATATGCGATAACTGAAAAGTCGTGAGGTCGATGTGAAAGGAAACACGGTGTTTGCCTTAGGACATTTATTATTTGAAAGGAAAAACCTCTCACAGTTTACTTTTGCCGTGGAAGAAACTGCACACCAAAGCATTATTACCGCAACCGATGAATGGAACGCAGAAAATTGTGGAGAGTAATATTTAAAAGTTCCTTTCTTAAATATATATATATATATATCCGACAATGAAGTGATGATGTAAAGAAAACTGTGCTTCCAACATTTTATTAACTTCGTTTTTTTCCCCTCTAACATCGATGTTTTATAAGTGTTGATGTTTTATATTAAATTTTTCCAAGATTAAGAATAGAATGTTTTAAAAATGCGCAAATGATATTCAACACTTCAAATAATGGAATATATTTCTTTTTATATGCAGACTTCTGTTTTATTTATTTCTGTATAAATCAATGATTTAGAACATTTACAGTCAGTTCCCTTAAGGATGTCTTCGGCTAATGTGTTACAGAGCAGGACCCAAATTCGAAATACTTTTTTCAGATATAGAAGTACTCAAACATTAATATTATATTTTGGCTTCACTATCCAGTAGAGAATCACTTATTTTATTATACTACTCATTTTTATCCAAATTGTGTGTGTGACACATTTTTTTCTTTAATAAAATGTGTTTCGCATTTTTTTCCCCCCATACCATAATGCTACATGAGCTATCTCTTTACATGTTAAAAGAAAAAATAAATAAATAAAAAAAAAAAAACACTGATTATTTATGAAATATTTTGAAATTTTAAAAACACTATATCAGAAAGAAATGTATGAGTTACAATGTCACAAATTTTTATAAAAATCGATTCTTTTTTTTTTGTTCGAAAAGGTAATCCGCATTAAGTTCACACTGTCTTACATATGGCGAAAACAGCCTAGGTGCATCTCTGTAACATGCGAGCTTCGGTAGCCTATGGGGTCTTAGTTACGGACTCTATGACAAAATTTTCCCTTCTTCATCTATTAAAACTACAGACTTGAAATTTGGCAAGCACGTGTCTTTTGTTGAGTAGAGATCTATAATAAACGCATTTTGTTGAAATCAACTCCGAGGGGGAGGGTTTGTCATGATGTTTTGGATAAAAATTCCCGTTTTTGAACTATTAGAAAAACAAACTTGACATTTGGCAACCGGGGTTCTTTTGTTGAATAGAGATCTGCTATGAACAGGTTTTCCGGAAATCGATTCCCAATAGGGTGAAGGGGGTATAAAATATTATATTCCGTTTTAGAAAATCATGTTCTGCTTTTTTTAAATCAAAAGATGAGAGCTGTAAAAATGTTTTTGTATACAATCTGTTAAGGTTATAGATGGCGCTGTCTCAACTGCGGCGTTGTGTAAGTGTAACCCCGGGAAGACGGGGAGTGATGAGTAAGACGAGAGAGAGAGGAACGTTAGAGAGAGAGAGAGAGAGAGTTTGAGTAGAATTTTCTGAGATGTTATGAGTGGTGAGAATTAAGTCGTGTATAAGGTGTGAGATATATAGTTTGTAATGAATAAGGTGTGAGTTGAAGTTTGTAAATAAAGTTGTTATTTGTTATTAGAGAGAGGTAGAGTTATTTGTAGTTAGCGTAATCAATACACAATCAAAAGTTTAATTCTAAGACTTTGATATCAATAATTATATAAGTTGAATAATTATATCTATATTTAATTATTGATATACAGTGGGTGATCGGTTAACGAACATAATCCGTTCCAAGACTATGTTCGCTATCCGAATTGTTCGTTAACCGATCATCGATTCACCATAGACTTCTATGGGAAATCGATTAATTCGTTCTGGAGACCCTAAAAAATGAAATCAAAACCGAAACTGATGTTCTAATGTGTATGAACATTCTATTGGAATTTTTTTTTTTTCAATAGAGCTTTGAAGTTTAATTGGTAAGCAACATAATTCAGGAGAGATGAAAAACGATTCTTAGTCCGTTTCTCATATTTCACGTATTTTTAGGCGGTAGCGCGTTATCGGCACCTTTATTTTTTATAGTCTGCACTGTTTGAAAAAATTAAGAATTCGCTTAATTTATTTGCCATGTCAGCAAATTCACTCGCCCATAAGTTATCAGCTGTCAGAAAATATTGATATTCATATTGAAATTCAAGCATTCAAGTGTGTATTGATTTTAGTCATAATAATTATTGAATGACCTTTAAATTCATTGTTAATTCAAGTTTCATTTAGTAATTATCAATACTAAGCTTGCTTTAAACATTTCTCCTTTCAGTGATCTTATTTTTTGTGCAAAATGATAACAAATGCTTAATACTAATTTTTTTTTCAGAGCCGAGAAGTGTTCGTTAGAATTCGTTTTGTTCATTATCCGAATATGTGTTCATTGTCCAAACACAAAAAATCTTTCTTGAAAGTGTTCGTTATCCGAACACAAAAATATTTCGTGAAAGTGTTCGTTAACCGATTTGTTCGTTAACCGATCTGTTCGTTAACCGATCACCCACTGTATTAGTCTTAGCCAGCAAACCTTTACTTGTCATACATAGCCAAAATGGGTGGGTAAATGCTAGTTAATAAATATTTATCCCCCGGTTCTTTTGGGAAGCGATACTTATATTTAACCTTCCTTCTTGGAAAAATTTATTAAAACAAATTTATTGAATATAATCTTTTGTTCAAAATCTTAAAGATATCCTCATTTTTTTTTTCTTCTGATTTTACAGTCAGCTTCCTAACCACTTTGCCATTAATACGGCTCAAGTGCACCCGAGAATGAAGCTGTGTCCTTTCTCTCTGATAAGGTTTCTTTTTTTAATTAATAATATACTCTCAAAGGAATATTGAAAGAGTCTAACATCCTGTTCCACAATCAATAACATGTTACTTTCTAAATCATACTACACGTTGACTCCCATTATCTAATGATTTTTTCTTTCTTTTTTTGTAATCACGTTCTTGAACAAACAGGTACCTTGTGAGAAAATACAAAATGTTGTGACACACAATGTCCTTACCGTTAGAAACAATTGCTTTATTGGAAACGATAAGGAAATATTTGGGGGGAAAAAATCTCAATCTTTTCTGTAGATTGATTTCCTATAAAATTAGAAGCAACATTTATCTTTCCGATCATGAATATTATTGATATCGGAAAAGGAAAGAAAACTGTTAGCGCGTGCAAAATTATAAACACTCTCCAGGCACAAAATAAACGAATGCAAGTGTATTGATATTGATACATTAATAAGATGATTAAAAATAAATACTTCATACGATAGAGGACATTTAAAATCGGGAAGGGGGTGGGGTTCAGATATGATGTGATTCAATATTTTCTGTTTTATGCTTAAGTATGTTTATTTATATTCCTCTCGTAAATATTTTTCTTTTTAATTATTGTTATTATGCATTCGAGCATATTTTACAAGAAGGAAACTCATTTGTTTTACGGAATTGTTTCAGTTTATAGTATAGCCAAGGTAGCCTAGTGGTCATGGTCACGAACTTATGGCCGGCGTTGTCACATCGTGTATCGAGTTCTGTTTCCACTGAAGACAAACCGTGTAGAAGGGCTGATGTACGTTAAATCGGCAATGGCTCAAAGTCCTCACATTAGCGAGGTGTGGAAATTAGGAGAGTGGATTGCCGGCTCAGATGTCGTTCTTGTCACTTGACTGTGGTTTAAATTTACACGTTTCTGTTGCCGCGCGGGAGTCGGTCCTATTGCTGTGTTCCTAAATATATATATATATATATATATATATATATATATATATATATATATATTTGGACTTTCTTTCTCTTTATCTAACATTTCTCCCCTCTCTATTTTCGTAGCTCCTTTTAGGAGTGATTTCCTCACGTATCTTATATCTTTTTCAATGGCGTTCTTTCTCATTAGAAGATAGCATCTGTGTGTGTGTTATGTATTTACATTGTAATTGCAAAGTATTTTTACTGCATTCTTCCCCCGATTCTCAAGAATTTTGTGGGGAGGGTCCCTCATTCGGGGCCTTTTTGTGTATGTATTTCGTTTAGTATGTAAATAAACTAAATTCTTTGGGGGGGGGGGGGTCGGTATGCAGCTCGAAACCCTTTGGGTGAGCTCGATTCTCTCGAGTAAGTAAGTGAGCAAGCGATAGCCCTTGTCAACAACCATATCAGGCTGAAATCACCAGATCTCATCAAATCAACGAAGTTAAACATCATAGAGGCCGGTCAGTACTTAAGAGGGTGACCACTCAGGAACACCACGTGTCGTTGGCATTTTTTTTTCTATACCAAAAAACTGGTCTGCAGCTCTAAACCCTTTTGGCGGAGCTAGGTTCCTTTTTGCATTCTGCCAATAGCCCTTTCTGAATGGAAGTTAATATAAGCCTTAGAGTCGGGTGTTAATAAACTTATCTAAACTTAATTCAGTGACATATAAGCTCAAGCAAGGGGCAAGGCCTAATGTGCCCATCTAAGTTTTAGAGACCCTGGGTGATAAAGTTCCAGTTAGGTGGTCAGTCTGACACGAAAACCCCCAGTGTTTAGTTCCCAAGCAAGCTTGGTACTCATTTATCAATCCACTGAAGGGATGAAAGGCTGAGTCGATCTTGGCCAGCCCGGGGCTTGAACCCCAGACCTACGGCGTGGAGACGTGGTACGCTTCCATTCCGCATATGGGTCGTTGTTCATAAACTATCAATCAACTTATAGTATTATGCATTACGATTAATTTCGTACTAAATATGTTATTTTTAATGGATTGTGGTACTTTTATATCGTGGTGCATTCGACATTTGAAACGATATTTATACAGTGTGATGTATTCGGAATTTTGTATTTATTTATTGCGAAGTATTCGAAACGTTATTTATATATTGGAATACACGCGGAGTTCCAAACGACATTTGCATATTATGATGTATTCAAAATTCATAAGTAGTATTTAAATATTGTGATGTATTCAGTATTCGAAACGGTTCTTAGTATCTTGATACATTTGAAATTCGAAACAATATATATGTATTGAAATAAATGGTATTTATGTTTTTTAAATATCCTAAACGATATTATGTATTGTCATAAACGGTATTTATGTATTGTCATAAACGGTATTTATGTATTTGAAATTCGAAACTATATTTATGTATTTAAAATTCGAAACGATATTGAAATATTATCACGTATATTCGAAACTTGAAATGAAATTTTACACTGGGATATACATTTGGAACGATATTTATGTATTATGACATATTCGGAACAATATTTACGTATTATGAAATATTCGGAATGATATTTATGACTGATGCAATCGAAGTTCGATACAATATAAATATATCTTGATACTTTCGATGTTCGAAACGATGTTAATATATCTTGATACTTTCGATGTTCAAAACGATATTTAGGACTGTGATACATTCGAAGTTCGAAACGATATTAATATATCTTGATACATTCAATTTTAGAAACGATATTTATATATCTTCATACATTCGGAATTCGAAACAATATTTACCTATTGTAATAAAAGTTATTTATGTATTGGATGTATTAAATTTAAAGATGTTTAAATATTGTGTCACATGTATTCGAAACTCGAAACGAATAATCATGCATCGTAATATATTTGAAGGTTTTTTGTAAGGATGTATTAGAATTGACTGTACGCTAAATTGTTCTATTTATTTATGCATTTATTTCTCTATAATATTTTACCAAATGGAAAATATAGAAGTTACTCCTGTTAGTTATCTGTAATGATTTTTTTCAAATAATATATACTTTTTTTCTTAGTATTAGCTGTCCTACCCCCTTTCATTGATTTTTTTTTCTTTTTTTGTATGAAAATGTATCTCACCAATTTAAACAATTTAATAATTTCCACAAACCTCTTTAATTATTACTCTCCTCTGTTTTTTTAAACTCTTAATTCCCTCACTTTCTGCAACACTCCATGGCATTTACAAACGAAATAATTAACCACAGACCATCATTCACTGCTTCAACTTATCATCGGTATATCTTTAAGAATCAAATTATAATCTGGTATTAAAAAGCGCATCTCAACAGGAGGTCTCGTGTATCGAAGTGCGTAACACCGCGAACTATTCATCCGACGTGATGAAAGATCTCCCAGCCTGGAACAAAACTCGTGATGAAACAATAGAATAATCACATGCTATAAATCGCAAATTGGGATCCGATTCCGGATCCCACCCATCCGGGCACTCGCCGCACCCGGGAAAATGTCGACAATTACCCCCCAACGGAGCCTCATAATTTCCCTATTATTTTCCCCTCCACTGAAAAAAATTAGAGCACAGTTCGTTGTTATGTATCGATTCCTATCTAATGCATATACGAGTTCTTTCTGGAAGTACATCTGTTAGGCAAGGAACTGCGGTATTAGTGTCATTTGTTTCAGCACGATGATTCAGCACTTGCATATTAATGGCGACTGTACTTCAAATATCATTATAAAATGGCTCGCTGACTGATTTCGTGCTTGCTTAATGTGGTGTCAGAGCAAGAGGGAAATGCGTTTCTTCGTGGGGTGGTTAATCGTCTTTCATGAGCGTGGGGTTAAATGTTTAACAAGGTAGGGGGTGGAGAAAGTCAAAAGGGAGTGGGTGGGGTGGAAAGGACAGTCAGGGTGAACATGGTTTTTGAGTGTAAAGTACCTATGAAGATTTTGCTGTTGTTGAAACCTCACTTTGTAACAAGTAATGTAAAAAAAGTAAATAAATAAGTCAATTCCTGCATAGGTCAACAAAGAAAATTTTTATTTTGGTTACTATAATTTATGAAATAGCTATAATTAAAAATATAAATATGTATATACAGATATGACAGAATCACATTATTGACAAAAAAAGAAAGCGATATTCCTTGCAATTTTCCATTTTAGCTTTCTATATAGGGTGTTGGGCTGTTTTTTTTATTTTTTTTTACTTTGTTACTATTTATTCATAAATTAAATTAATTCATTCTAATAAAATAGCATAGTAAAAACGAAATCACATTCTCAGAAATTAGGCCATCCCAGGGGGGATTAGAACCCACGACCTTTGGATTAGAATTCCAAAGCTCTAACCATTGCACTACGAGGACACAACGAACGATTTTCCATTCTATATATGCTGTTGGACTATTATTTTTGTTTGTTACTATTTAATAATTTTTTTAAATTTAATTAATGATTTAATATTTTAAAAAAAACTGTATAATCATCAAATGTCATCCGCTACAAGTTGTAAAAAAAGTGTATTTGAATTTGAATGAATGAACAGAAAGTATTTTATTAACGATTGAAAATGTGAACAAGATATATATATATAAATATATACATATATAGGGGGAAAGAGAACTAATAGTAGGAATTGAAAAAGGGACATAAGTTAGTTCTCTTGTGCAGCAGGGAGTTGAAGTGAAGAGAATCTATTAGGTAATATGGCCACCTCGTACCACAATACTTTTCAGAAAAAATGTCTTGTTGCTTTTCTTAAAGCAATATCGATCCGCATGGGTGTTTTTTTTTTTTTTTTTTTTTTTTTTTTTTTGAAGTTAAAAATTTAGTAGTGAACAAATTGTTGATATTGTTTATATTTTTAAGGATTTTTTCAATCACGCTTACCTACGTAATTTTTCTTTTCCTTTTATAAATATTTTATGCAATTTAACAGACGATTTTTCCGTACAGTTTTTGTTATTCTTGTTTTTATACTTGAAAGATTCTAATAATTTTATTCAATACCATTCGAATTATTAGTGGACATGTTGTAATTCTTTATTATTTTTTTTAAAAAATAATATAAAATGTATATGTAAATCTAATTATTACAATTAATTAATTTTATGTTATTCATTTATATATGTTTGGAATAGTAATTTAAGTACATTAAAAAACTAAGCAATAAGTTATTGAATCTATATAATTACATATATATTTTTTTTTATGCAACAGGAGAAAAACAATAGAATTTTTTTTTTTATTATGATACAAATATTTAACTTGAAATATATATTTTAATTACGTTCTTCGTACATTTTAGTTACATGGATAAAAAAAAGCATCGGAACTTAATGTAAAAAAGAATTGCTATTCAGTGCATTGCAATTTAATGGTTAAAATCCATTAAAGTTCTATAACATGTTTGTTTTTTAGATAAAAATGGCTTTCAAACAGATCAGCCGAATTAAATAAATTAAATCTCTAAGTAGTGCAGAAAAAGTCGCTCTGGTTTTGCATCATGAATTATACCTTGTATAAGCAAAAAATATGTCGCATAATTTGCTTATGTAAAATGTGTCGGGTGATATAAAATCTTAATATAATTACACATACGAGAATATATACATTTCTCAGAGCTGCATTAAGATATGTATAATTTTCTTATTGAAAACAATTTATTTAGCAAAGATGTGTTCCCCAAAATTTTGCTGCATCTATGGTTGAAAGATTTTAGTTTTCAAAATGAATTTTCTATAATGACATTTTGCTTTCAATTTCTTAAAGACAAAATTTTTTAGATGCTTGATCAGAAAATATTTATAAAAGTTACAGTTTTTTAGAAAAAGGAATATTTAAATAGTAAAATAAATGTTGTTATACATACTGAGCTTATTTTTCTCTTATTTATTTATTTTCTTGAATCTTTTTTTTTTTTTTTAATTTAATAAACAAAACCAAAAAATTTTTATTTTTTGGACTTTTTATTTTTGCTTCCTTAAAAAATTATTTTACATTTAGTAATTACTTTTTACATAAATAAAATACTTTGTACTGGTAATTATTTCAATTTTTATTGAACTTTTTGTTTTAATTGTTTTATTAATTATATAATATCTGGATACGTGAATTGATGTGTCTTGTTTAAATAATAAACTACTAATTAAATTTATCAGATTTTATTTTTTTAAAACTCGAATGAATTCAAAAAAGTAATCACTAAATTGTTTTGAAAAAATAATTTAAAATTAACTTTACACTCTGAGGGGATTTTTATTATTTTATTTTGGGAATTCTTTGTTAAAAATGTCTTTTCGAGTAATCTTTAAAGGGAAACAATAATCTGTTATGATTTTTTTGCTCAAAGACTTGAGAAAAGATTGTAAACAACTACAAAAAAATACATTTTTTAAATGAGTTATTTTATTTAAATTTTTATTTTCAGAGAAAAAAAATAAAGAAATATACGTAAAAAACTTCTTAGATTATTAAAATTATAATACGAGCCTTTAAAAAACTGATGATTGTAAGTAAAATAATGT